GGGGTAAATCAGACTTGATGTAAATCATTCCGAAAGCACTGGATTCCATCACGGAAAAAGGAGTTAATCCGAAAGAAAACTGGAATTCCACAGAACAAGAGCATTGATTGTTGTGATTTTGGGCTCACAAAGGAGATTTTTCAACTGTCCGCTACCTTAATATTACAAAGTTTTATCTGCTATTTTTGGCGTTTTGAGTTACGAAGACCATAAGTCTGGAACCAATTAATGTTCTATCTAAATTGTAAGGTTTTTCAGAGTCGTTATCAAGAGATTCAACGAACTACATTCGAAAAAGCTTAACCGTGATATGGAATTCAAAATTGGTTACGTCAAATTTGACAAAACTAGGCACTGAGTAGAAACAAGGTTGTAATTTTCAAGGGTTGCGAGTTGTGACAAAAATCCCCGAAAGGTTGAAATTGGGGTCAACAAAAGGTAGTCCAGTTCGCCGATGTGTTCCCGTTGGACTCTAGTCAAGGGTGAAAGTGGGTGGTTGGAGGATGCTCTAGCATGGTTTGCTCCTTCCTGCTTATTAAACATCTATCGTCCTTATCATTTTCCTCTTTTTTGTGTTTGTTACACTCTTGTAACTTTTTAAATCTTCGGCATTTATATGAACTAATTGTCTTGAAAATGCCGCAAAACTCTTATTAGATCAAGCCTACGTAATAGTCTATGTTCTTTAAAAGAAAAGACGAGTCTCAAATAACCTTTCTTTAGTGTACTTTAGTCAGAGCTTTACCTCTCTTTCAACGCATTGAGGTCATAATACACGCACCAAAGATTACAGGTGTCATGAGAGAGTGTCAAACAGAAGAAAGAAGGAGAGACACGGACGATATGTATTTGATAGGAAAGAAGGAGCAAACCACAGCAGAGTACACGCCAACCACCCACAAAATAGCCTTTCTGACGGCATCAGACACATTCACTTGTCCCATAAACCCAATCCCATGTTTTACCAACGCTTAAATTTCTTACAATTCAACTCTGTGCAACAGAAGGAGAATCCTTGTGAGTTCATTGAAGGGTGGTATCAGCTATAAAATAGTAATGATGTTTAGCATAGAAGAAGAAGAAGAAGAAGAAGAAGAAGAAGAAGAAGAAGAAGAAGAAGTA